GTGCGTGAGGATCGGGCAATAATTACGACCTGCTGACAATTTTGCAGTTTTTTTGGTCCATTTCAACCCCTAAATAAATGGCGATCATCTCCAAAAAGAGTAGGCTTCTATTCTGACTCTCATCTTATCCCCATGCAAAATTTCGTAAGGATAGGGCCATAAATGCGATATGTATATGATATCCTCATATCCTAACTACTTAGTTTTGTTAGCTGTAGAAATATTACCAAATGTTTAATTCAAAATGGAAATATGCCAAAAATATGACAAATTTGAAAAAAATATGAGAAAATGTTACAAAACCAATATTTTCATCTTTAGAGAGATATTTTTATGCGATTTTTTAGACGTTGTTTCTTTCCTGCCAAGAGGCTATTCTGAATTAATGAGAACTGTCGAAATCAGTTCAGCCGTTCTCGACATATAAGAGATCTTTCAAGTATATCTTCTTTGATAGACATATATATCGCACATATTTTGCTATATATCCGTTTTGTTGGATGTTAACATCAATGTAAAGATCAGAAGTAACCTTGTCAAGGCTTTGTGATTTTGCCGGGATTTAAAATATTCGCGGTTTAATGAAAAATTTTGAATTTTTTCAGCACAAAAGATATGGTCTATTTTACCCGCTAAATTTTATCCGATGACCACCCAAATTGGTAGGCTTCTTCCCCGCCCTAAACTCTAGCTACATGCGAAGTTCCGCGTCGATTGGTCTATAATTGCGACCTGTATAGCTACTGCAAAATCCGATATTTTTTCAGTATTTGGTCCATTTCGACCCCTAAACATTTGGCGATCATCTCCAAAAGAAATAGGGTTCTATTCTGACCCTAGCCCTACCTCCATTTTAAATTTCGTGAAGATCGGACCATAATTGCGAACTGTAGAGAGATTACAAATTAACATGGACAGACGGACAGACGGACGGACGGACATACATAGCTAGATCGACTCAGCTCGGCGAGCTAGGAAGATCCATATATACTTTCCTATATGGGAAACCAATATTTCGAGGTGTTACATAAATGCTGGCCCAATCAAACTTATAATACCCCCAACACATAGTGTTGTAGGGTATAAAAACGAAACAAAACAATAAAACAAATACCAACACATGAACGTCAAAATGATAGCAATTCATCCAAATTGATGAAAAACAACAACAACAGCAACAATAACGACAAAACAAAAATATATAAACAAAATCTACGAAATTGTTTAGCACTCGTCGAATTTTATGCAACTAAACCGGCAATTACTGAACAAACATTGGCCAGACACACATAAATCGTAGCCAATTCAAATGCAGAGTGACATTTTGAGTGTAGCCAATGCTAGGGGCTATTGTCGTGTTTGTTTAGTTAAACTAAAGCAAAATTACTGTTGACAAAAGAGGAAAATAAATGTCGATATGTATAAATCAATATAAATTTTAAATTTTAAGGCGTGTTACAAACACCTTTGAAAAAATTGGTTAGAGATGGTCCTATTATGCGAATGAAACATTCAAACTTTTATACCCTATGCCATACTGATTATGAGATAAGCCCATATTTATAGAATCAATCATATTTTTATTTAAGAAAATTACATTTTAAATTTGTTGACTGTTTTCTGCGATTTTTCGACAAAGCTCCGATTTTCTCTTACCGATTTTAAACTGTGGATAAATTTGGCTTGCTTCTGAAAAAAAAAAAAAAAAGCAGAACATACCAAATAATTTCGAAAATAATTCCTAAATAGGTATTTTTTGCAGATCCTATGAAATGTTAATATATACTCTCTATCAAAATTAAAACCTAAATCCATTTTACATAGTTCGGCAAATGAAAGCAATATGGCTACATGAAGTAAACATAATTTGATACGGTTAAAGACGGGTCTTATTATACTCTCAGCCATATGGCTAGAAGGGGTATATATCATTTGATACGGCCAAAACGTGCCTCATCGAAATAACAGCTTTAGACGGTTCAAGTGCAAAAATGAGCAATTCGGAACTCCAAGTCGATTGTTTTACAATTGTGACCTTTAGAGCAACTGCAAATTCAAGAGAACTTTCTGTTTTTGGTCCATTTCAGCCCCTAAATATTTTACGACAATCTCCCCTATCAATAGGCTAATATTCTGACCATAATTCCACCTTTATTTGAAATTTTCTGCGGAGCGGGCTATTTTTTGCGACCTTAGGGTGATTGCATATTAACATGGACAGATGGACGGACATATATTACTAAATCGACACATCTCGGTGAGACATGAAAATCCATATATGAGTGAGATAAAAAAAAACTGCAACAAAGTCAAACGCCATAATTTTTCCTTTTTTTAAATTTTATTGAACGAAAGCAAAAAAAGGTCGGAAATAGCATCACATTTTAGAATGAGTTTAGATTTGTTCGAATTGGTCATCTTCAGCACGAATTATGGCCTTCGAATAACGGCCAATGAAACCGTCACATGCTGCCCGAATATTGCTCTGCGGTATTTTGGCCTATTCCTGGCGATGCGCTTGCTGGAGGTGATGGACACTTTGGTATTTTTAAGTGCCAACTTTGCTTTCCAAAATACTCCAGACACAATAGTCCGACGGATTGGTATTCGGAGATTTTGGTGGCTATTGTTCGCTGGAAATGAAGCGAGGAACCTCATTTTGTAGCCATTCTTGGTTGGCGCGAAGGTGCTGGGTTCTGTTTGAATGTCCAAGGTCTGCGGCCAAAATGTTTGCGTGCCCAATGCTTTAATAAACCCTCCAGAATATTCTGGATTTATTCTGATACCACGATCGATTAATACGAGCGGAGAGCGACCATCGGCTGTTATGGCGGCCAACACCATCACCATGGCTGGTGCTTGAGTTCTGGTGACCTCTTTGGCAAGTAAACACGATAATTTTTTTTTGTTTGTTTACAAAATGCTGGACAACGAATGTTTTTTCATCGGAGAAAACCAAATTCGGCAGTTCACCATTTTCGGCCAAGCGAAGCAGCTCTTTAGCTCTTTTGAGTCTATTTTCTTTCTGTTGCGGTTTTTGGAATTTCAGTGACTTTACCCCGAGCTCATTTTCCAATATTTGCCGAATGGAATATTGCGATATGTTCAGCTCACAAGCCATTTTTCGGCCACTGCGACGCGGGTTTCGATCAAGTCGCTTCTTTACTTTTCGAACCATTTCTGCTGATGTTGATGTTTTCTTCCGTCCACTTCCTTGACGTCGGTAACGAGCGATGTTACGGGACACAAAAGATTTATTCACATTTATATGCTGAAATGCTCTAACGATAGCCATTTGTAGTTTTTCAGCCAAATATAAAGAAATCATACTGTCACGCTTAATTTCCATCACGTATAACTTTTTTTTCTGGAAAATTCCCACCAAAATGCTTTTGTACACTTGTAAACAATATAATGAGCTGTTACTGGAAGAATTTTAACAGCTGTCGGACGAGTGTCCTAGAAATGACAGCAGTCTGAAATTAGTTGCAGTTTCTTAATCTCATCCTGTACAAAGGAAGGGGATGTCAGCTAGAATGCTTATATCTCAAGAATGACTGGACAGACTTTGACAAATTTTGACAATTCGGAATGCCTTCTTGGCATAGAATGAGGCCTATGAAAATCGCATAAAAATATGCCAATAATGAAGTTAACACAGATATTTTGTGACATTCTTCTTTCTCCATTTTTTCATATTTTTTTCGCAAGCGTTTTGTTTCAAATTGATATTTAGTGGTTGAAATGGACCAACAACAAAAAATATTTTGCAGCCGTTATAAAGGTCACAAATAGAAACCAAAGGACACAAAATCTCACATGAAGTTAAAGTTTAGGACAGCGAGTACAATGGACCACTACTTTTGTGTGAAAAATACCAACATTTCCATTCTACGAAACGCTAAAAATAACTTACAGGCGATATCCAAAATACACAAATGGCAAACTTCTGACTTTTTTAGGCAAATTTCGTTGTCGAATATAGCCAAATATCGTAGACAAGCAAATCATATAAATGAGTCTAAATTTAGAGATACAGAGCGGCCTCTTGCATTTGGATATGATCGCAAAATATTTAGGAGTTCAAATGAACCAAAAACAGAAACATTTTCCTGATCACACAATTGACAAGAAATTTTGCATGAGAAGAGAGTTAAGGACAGGGAAGAAGTCCAGCATTTTGGATGATCATTCGATTATAAATGGACCACAACAACTAAAAGCACGACGGAGTCCGTAAATATTGGACAAATGTCCCTGGTCAAAATACTAGGGGTAATATCTTGGCAATGCTTCGTGACATAATTTGAAAAGCGAAATCTTTCAAAATGGATATGGACATAAGGGAGCTTCTAACATATTGTAGTGTTGTAGGGTATCACATTGTCGGTCCCGCCCGACTATAATCTTTGCTTACTTGTTTTTACTTGTACTGTATTAAAATTTTTATACATCTTATATATCCAACCTATGATTCCAGAAAGAACAGTTTTTTAATTAAAATAAATAATATTATAAAATATTTTCCTACATTTTCCGACAGTGATCTGTTGGAACTCAAGAGAAACCACTCTACAGGAATTTTACTCATTTGTAGTATATAAAAAAAATTGTTGAAAATACATTTTATTTCTTTACTATCTGTAAATATGTACACAAGTGTAAATAGTTTACAATGATGTAAAAAATTTAAAAAGGAGGAAAAAAAAAAGACATCGTCGCACTGTAAACCATAATTTATGTTCAAACATTACAAACTGTGTCTGATGGTGGTGCAGCCAGGGCAGCACCACCACCATCAGTAATTAACGAGCACAAATTTACTTTGTGCCATTTTTATGTTCCACTTAATTTTGTTATATTATTTTTTTCATATTTTTGTTGTTGCTATTATTATTATTGTTGTTGTTGTTGCTGCTGCTGCGGTTGTTATTTCCTGTTGCTGTTGGGCAAACCACTAAATAAATGTTTGCATTCTGTGTTTCATTCATTTTTTTCAGATTTATTTTTTAATAGGTTATGAACTTTTACAACAAGAACAACAACAACAGCAAAAACGTAGCAAATGTGTTGAAGTAAATCACAAAATTGACCATGTGATGGTGATGATAAAACAATAAAAAAAAAATAGCAACTCAATTTAATGGAAATGTATGAACTTTTGATTTCCCCAAGGAATTTGTCACTTATGGTGCTTGGAGAGTGTGGAGTGCGAACAATGGAATTGTGGCAGTAGTATTCGCCAGATGGGAAAGATATGAAATGAATGCGGGTAAGTAGTGGAGTCTGTTTTTTGTTTGTATGTAGTTCTTTTCATAAAGTAGTAGTAGGGTGACGTATGATTGATGTCAGAAATGCTGTTGCTCACACGCTCTCTGGTTCAGCGGAATATTAAATTACACTTGCATCCAATTACATAATTTCCTCCAGGTATACAAAACCATAAAACCATTACTTCAAAGTAATATTACAAAAAAAGTGAATATTCTCTTTTAAATAAAATAGTCCACGTTGAAGGTCATAAGCTATAAATTTCGGGCATTACATCTTCATTTTTATACCCTTTACCACATAGTGGTAAGGGTATTATGTATTTGTGCATTTATTTGTAACATGGAGAAGGAAGCGAGATAGGCCCATAATCACTTTAAGGATCTTCATAGAATCACTTTCTGCATGTTCGTCCGTCTGTCCATGTATTTTTGTGGACAAAATACAGGTCGCATTTATTATCCGATTGAGATGAAATTTTCCAAACAATATTTGTTAGACCCAAGGACGAACCCTATTGAAATTGGGGAGAATCGGTTCAAATTAAGATATAGCACCCATATATATCTTTAACCGATTTCGGGATCATTGTGCACCAAATGGCCAATATCGATCTAAATGACCTGAATTTTGTCACATCCGACCGAAATCAGCCTACAAGGAAGTACATAAAATTGGGTGAATATATGTTTCTTCCGATTTGGGGTTCTAAGTCTCTCACATGCGTAATATGCACTCCACAACAATGATATTTGACACCATAAAACGTTGGAGCTTTAAAATACCTCGGCCAAATTTTATCGAGATCGGTTCAGATTTTTATATAGCTTTGATATACAGGGTTGCCCATATTCGACAGACCCATGGTTCCAATCGACGAGGCTTGTCCGCAGGCAAAATTCTTTGCGTCAATTGAATTTTGTACGGGAACAAATGCAAATCAATGCGAATAATCCGTTGTAAAGTGGACCGAGCCATGCCCAACTGCTGAGAACGGTGTTTTTGGGATGTTCTTGGGGACCTCTCAACACTGGCTTGTACGGCAGCGATATTCTCGGCCGATCGCCTTGGTCGACTTTTATATGGCCTCTTCGAAATAGAAAGAGCCTTACCAGTCGAAAATTTTTCGTATAAACGCTTAATGGTGTTCTTAGAAGGCACACTTCTCACATTTTTTTCACAATTGACTTCTTCTGTTGAATGTAAATTTCGACTATTTCAGAGCGCTCGCGTGGCGTGTATTGGTTTATGGTAAAAATCTGCTTGGACTGACGCTTCAAACGCGGTATGTCATTAAGCGATGTGACATCTCTGTCAAAAGTTATGGCGTTGGCAGATGGGTCCGTCGAATATGGGCAACCCTGTACATTTTCATATGATTTTACGGTTATTGCTCACCATATATGTAATATCAGAATAGAATTTTTTATATTCAACCGTATTTTACCATTAAGTGAAACTCGGTACGGTATATCTATTACTCCAATAAATATTTTTTTAAATATAATCCTTATCGAAGTCATATCATGCATTATACAGCAATGTTAGTTGGTTCATAGTTGGTATGATCTACTTCACATAAATTTCCAATATAAATTTTTTTGTTACGGGATCTCTACTGAATACTTATAGTGGTCGGCCTCGGCCGACTTCTGATCTTTCCCTACTGGTTTTTAATTTTTTGACTTTGCTCTAAGAAGGGTTCATAAATTCCAAATATAAACCTTATAAAGGTGTCGTTTTGTCAAAATTTGTGGAAACTAATTTCCTCAGAAATAGCAAATTTCGGAGCTATTTGATATATTTTCTTAAGTATCATAGCAAAAGGTGTTGAATTTGATGTCTTGCTGAAAAGCAATAATATATTAACCTACTATACATTTTTTTGTTACATTGTTTCCATTATTGATGAAAACAAGTAAGAGGAAAACAGAAAAGTGACGAACTTACCGAATATTTGCTTTTTAATGGTATAGAGCACCAAGTATTAAGGGAAATTAATATAACCTCAGAGGACACAAAATATTAAATTTAATTAGAAACTGGGTCCGAAATCTTCCAAGTCAGGAGATACAATTATCAATATATCAATGGCTGTGAAATATAGCGAAGCCCAATCTTTATTAGTGCCAGACTGTTTTGGCACTTCATTAATTCTCTAGAAAGTTTATATTTTCCAAAATATCGAGATAATTGATTGAGAAGCGTAACATTTTTTTTCTCGCAAATTCTTCACATTTCAAAAATTTTTATTTAAAATAAATTTTAATTAAATTATGAGGTTTTCAGCTATTTAATAATTTTTGTCTTCATTTCTATTTTTCTGTTATGTTTGAAATCACAATTTCGTGAACATGACTGTTAATGCCTAAAGGAAGAAAAAACTGGCCATCACCTATTCACATCAAATCACCATTTAGTAAAACTAAATACCAATCTCATGTTTGTGTTTTATGGCCATGCATTGGTTGGCCGCAACTCAATTGCAGTATTTTAAGATTTTTATTACCATTAAAACACCAAATACCTACAGATTTGTATGCTGTACAAATATAAGGTTAAGACGCGAAAAATGCATATTTTTATTTTATAATCGATTTCAAAATGAACATTAAAAATTACCTTAAAATTTTACGTATGCCCTCTTTTGTATTTTCCAAAGTTTTTAATCGACACTGTTTCTAAAGTTTTCGGATTATTAGAAGTGTGTCCATCTGTCCACGTTAATTTGTAATCATGCTGCAGGCTGCATATATATAACCTGATCCGCATGGTATTTTGTTCGTAGTTTGAGTTAGTGTCAGAATAGAAGAATATTGTTTTCTGAGATATACGCAAAATATTTAGAGGATGAAATACAGATTTCAATCATAGACTAATCAACGAGAAACTTTGTATTGGGATAGACTTTAGGACAGGGCAGGAGCATGCGTCTTCTGGTACAAATGGTCAACATTTGCAAAAGGTTCACCTGTTATGATTTAAAAATGTTAAATAATTGTATAGCCCGATAGAAAAATTAAAATCAAATTTTTATAGATTGTTTGTTTCCCTGAAATTTCATTACCATTTGAAAATAAAACAAGTAAGCAAAGGCTACAGTCGAGCGAAGGCTACAACACTATAATAACCGATACAGTTTATATAGGCGAGATAGTCGAAAGAATTCCACAAGATATTGTGACAAATAATAAAAGAAAACTCTAATGTTCAAATAATAGCAACTAACTAATTTGCTCATATCCAATTTATTGGTAGATGTTGCACTTAAATGGTCTTCCTAGATCTGGAACCAATATTTTCCAAAGACCTATAATCTCTCAGAAGTGGCAAAAGATTAACATTTATTATTGGCTTTTGACTGAAATGCATCTATATGAGATACAAACATTTGACTATATTCTTCCACGAAATCAGCGTTATCGAAATAGTCAGAAGTGCGTCTTTCCTGCATTTGTGAATTCTCCAAAAAGTCTCTGGAATAGAAATTTTCGTATTTTTTCTACAAAAGTTGGCAAACTATTTCACACATTGAATATTTTTGGATGGCCATCCAAAACTGCTTGGCTTTTGCAATGTCCGGTAACCCCCTTTCAAATGTCCGTGAGGATCGGGCGATAATTACAACCTGCCGACAATTTTGCAGTTTTTTTGGTCAATTTCAACAACTAAATATATGGCGATCATCTCCAAAAAGAGTACGCTTCTATTCCGACCCTCATCTTATCCCCATGCAAAATTTCGTAAGGATCGGGCCATAAATGCATCTTTAGAGAGATATTTTTATGCGCTTTTTTAGACGTTTTTTCTTTCCTGCCAAGAGGCCATTCTGAATTAATGAGAACTGTCGAAATCAGTTCAGCCGTTCTCGACATATAAGAGATCTTTCAAGCATATCTTCTTTGATAGACATATATATCGCACATATTTTGCTATATATCCGATTTGTTGGATGTTAACATCAATGTAAAGGTCAGAAGTAACCTTGTCATGGCTTTGTGATTTCGCCGGGATTTAAAATGTTCGCGGTTTAATGAAACATTTTGAATTTTTTCAACAAAAAAGATATGGTCTATTTTACCCGCTAAATATTATCCGAGGACCCAAATTGGTAGGCTTCTTCACCGCCCTAAACTCTAGCTACATGCGAAATTCCGCGTCGATTGGTCTATAATTGCGACCTGTATAGCTACTGCAAAATCCGACATTTTTTCAGTATTTGGTCCATTTCAACCATTAAACATTTGGCGATCATCTCAAAAAGAAATAGGGTTCTATTCTGGCCCAACCCCGACCTCCATTCCAAATTTCGTGAAGATCGGGCCATAATTGCGACCTGTAGAGTGATTACAAATTAACATGGACAGACGGATGGACGGACATACATAGCTAGATCGACTCAGCTCGGCGAGATAGGATGATCCATATATACTTCCCTATGTGGGAAACCAATATTTCGAGGTGTTACATAATTTTTGGGCCAATCAAACTTATAATACCCCCAACACATAGTGTTGTAGGGTATAATAATAGCACTTTTAAACAAATCATTTTTCCATAACAGCGTAAGTTTAATAACTTTTCACTACTGGTTGAGGCACATTTAAATTTCATTCAATGAATATTCCTAAACAACAGACGTGAGGAAAGGCAACACTACAATGTGCGGTAAAGTATCTGCGGATCTTAAACCCTTTTTATTAGGAAGAAGATTTTGCTAAGAAATATCACCATATATACTACATAATAAAAAATCGTTATAGATCTGGAACCAATATTTTCCTAAAACATTCCAAAACAGATGTTCCCACTATGTCAAATATATAATCCACACCTTCCGAAAGAACAGAAATTTCACATTAAAAAATTAGTTTTCTTTGCATATTGAACATTTTATTTTTATTTCATTCTTGATATAATGTGCCACGAGTCTTAATGAGTTTTCAAAACAATATTTAAACAAATTTAGATTTCTCTATAGGATTTCCTGTATCTCCGAAA